TCGACACTCACACAGTGACAATGAGCATTTGTGAACCTGTGTTGAAACTGATCCACACTTGACAGCACATAAACTAGCACATGAAATTTCTCGTCATCCATTTTGCATCATCTGGAGGAAATAGGCAAAGCCAGTATATGGTTCCCATGTAAACTGACCAACTTTGTTGCATGGACACCTGCCTGACACTACTGTCCCAGAAGTACAATTTTGATTGGCTGTACAAAGTGGCTTCTGCAAATGAAAATGTTGTCTGTACTTGAACACGATATGCAAAACAAGCTAGATAGACAAGAGTGCAACTGCACCACTTCTGGCAAAGCCCAACTTGCATCAAATGAAGCTCATAGTTTGTATCTGGTGGAATGTAAAGAGCATGATTCACTGGGAAATGCTGGAATGTAATCAATCCATCAATGCTCAACTGTACTGTCAACAACTGCAACATGTGGCTTTATGATTTATCCTGTCTTTGGGAGTAGGTGATTGAAAATAATGATGATTATGCTGATGTTTGATATGTGCCTTTTACTGAATACTACCATTGTATAGCTTAGATATAGCACAAGGCCAAAAGTATGGAGCATCCAGTGAGGATTGAACTCACTACACAGTTGTAATTGATCTCGTGAGACAAGCTTGCAAACTGTTAAACCACATCAAAGTGCCCTTGTATCTTTTTATATCATTGTTAATAAAAAGTAGTGTGGGACTTTGTTTCTAAACAACATATATATATATATATATATATATATATATATATACACACACACACACACACACACACACACACACACACACACACACACACACACACTTTAACTTTAATCAGTTGAATCTGCTACCTTGGTTTCAACCTTACGGTATTCTCAGGCAATTGTTATCAAATAACCTTCCAATGCTTTATTTTTAAAAAACTAATGAACACTATATTATTTTAAAAATAAATAAACAAATGCACAGTGTTGGGCATGATAGAAAGAAAGGAGCAGAATGGGAAGAAAGAAGGTGCGTCTGTTTATTTAATTTTTATTTATTAATATAGTGTTCATTATTTTTTTTATAAATAAAGTGTTGGGAGATCAATTGATAAAAATCGCTTGATGATACCATAAGGTTGAAACCAAGGTAGTGAATTCAACTGACCTCCTAATTTTTAAAGTTAAAAGCTGTTTTTTTCACGTTCATATTAAGCACTTTTTAATGCTACTATTTCCTGGTCTGAATCAACTCTGACCATTAACTTTTTATGTATTATATATATATATATATATATATATATATATATATATATATATATATATATATATATATTACTTTAAATATTATTTTCAGTGGATATTCCTATTTGAGTAGATGTTATAATGTATATTTAGACAATAAGAGTTCATTTGAATAAATTTTGTTAAATCAGACAAGATTTGTTTAATTTTTTATTGTATTTTCCAATTTTTGAATAAGTTTATATCCAAATCAAAATTATAGGTAATCTGTCCAAAGTTCATTTTTTGTACAAGTATTTTCAACCATCTCAATTACTGTGAAAAACTGTCATGTGTAAAACAGTAATATCAAAATAAAACCAAAATACTACATTGCACTCATTGCAAGGAAAGACTGGAAATACTCAAAGCTATTATTATACAAAAGAAACAATCAGCATGAAATAAAATAATAATAATAATAATAAAATATTTGATACATTCTTTTCCAGTGCAGTCATGCTCTGTAAAGCTGTTTTGTACATGACATCACTTATATGATACGCATATATTTGAATTAACTTTAAATTACAGCATTCCAAAAGAATGCCAAAATGTAACTGACAAAATCTTGACATCAGAATATCTCAGCAATACCTCACAATATCACCAGGCTGTGTATGTTTTGGAATTCAATTTTTCTTGTGAGGTGTAATCCTCTTTTGCATAAAATTTCTGTTTGGATAAAAATAACATAAAGCAGTCCAAATACACTGTCATTGTCAATATCACTGAACTAGAAGTTAAATATATGTTCATAGATTCTATTTCATTCTGCCCATTACAGCCATGATTATGGATTATGATTAAGGAACACAATCCTACAACAAGTGATACACTTTATTGTGGCAAAGAATTTCAGCCATTGCAAGTCTCTTTCAATTGCTGATTCATGACTTATGTTTGCTCAATCAAATAGTCATCTTATGGAAAATTTATCTAAGGGAACTTAAGTAACTCCTTACTGGATACTTGAGAATTAATTAGATGAAGGAATTAACACAAAGTTATGTTTAATGGCTACAGATGAATGCAAAGCTTGAGCAATATGTTAGTAATTATCTCAGGTACAAATTCTTAGCCAAAACACCCATGAAATGTACACTAACTTCATAGCCAATCTCTAGATATTATTTAGGGGTTGATAAATTCCTTGGGTGTTGAAAGGGGATTATATAGAGTGAATTACTACTACAGCTCATCAATTTCCAACCAAATATTAATGTCCTTGCAGGCACATCTTTCCATTAGTTATGTCAACCAATTCAATAAAAAGGTATATTTATTTTTTTTTAATATGTTTATTATTACTTATATTATTTATGAAGTTTTTAATATCCAAAACAAAAACGTTTATTATATGAAGAAAAATAGAAATTGAAAAAGGAATAGAAAAGACATAGTGCTAAAATGAAACTTATTGAGAACCAATAATGAATGAAAAAGCAGAGGAATTTCTACTCTCAAATAAAAAATAATTATTGATATTTTTAGCACATGAATGGGAGGATTGATGAGAAATCAAAGATTCCATGAAGGAGTTAATAAACTATAAAATTTGGTGATCCCTGGTCTAATTAGAATAAAATTGAGTGGAACAAAAAAGAAACTCCTATCAATACTTTGTAATATTCTTTGAAAGTAAAGTTAAATGACTTAAAAGTAAAACAGTTTTGTTCATTATATCCAAATGATAAACAAAAAACGCTTTTTTTTTATTATTATCTGAACGATCATAAGAACATTTTTAATCAACTAAAAAAATTATTTTCTGTTTATTTTGTAATGATTTTTTTACTTTTTAAATTAGTATATTAATTGAAAATTTTCATGATTAGCAATTATCTCCCTTCTTCCAAACGCAAACGCTTGCGTATGAAAATAAAAAAAAATAATGTCTTGTATAAATTTCTATATGATTTTCCATTTCCACTAATTAGTCTTAATGCTACACTCACAAAGTTTGTAATCTGTTCTACTCTTGTAATGTAACATTTTACTATTTAAATCTGCAGTGTGTAAAGTTTTAAATATTTAAAACAGGTGTACTTGGTACACAGTAATTAAAAAGTAATTGAAATAAAAAATAAAATGCATTTAAAGATAACTTTTACATTTGAGTATTAAATTTTATTACATTTGCTGCCTCATAAGTAAACAATAATGTCTTCCTCATTAGACACGTGTTATTGTTATTCTTTCTTTTATGGTTATGTTCCTTAATTGCCTTTATTCATGTAGTTAAAATGCATGTTGATAACACAACAAAATTATACTTGATTCCTTTTTAAAGTAGTCATTCTATGTTATTAATTTTTTTTTTTAACTTACTGTTTTTCTTTTGCAGTAACTAAAGGTATTATGTGAAATTTCATGTTGAAAAAATAATTATAAATTTTGCATCCTTAATTAGATATTTGTCTTGAATATAATTTACTGTATTTTGGCATGTCACATAGTTGTTACTTATAAATCTTACTTTTTCTTTTCAAGTAAAAATCATTCGTATATTTAGCAACCTCCGAGAATGGAAACTTAACTTAATTAACTTCATTTTTATTTAATCTTGAAACTAAATAATTTAAATTAATGTGTCACTTCTAAAACATTAAAAATTTATATTTAATTTAATGTTTATCATAAACATTTACAAGCTGAGCAAAACGTATTTTTAAATTTTAATTTCGGCTATCATTTTAAATTAAAATCAACATCAATAGAAGTAACTAAGTGTTGAAAATCTAACGTTCAGTTTAAGACCTGTGAAATGCTTGTTCGATGAATCGCACGCTATTATTACAACTGAGAACCGGAAGTCTCATGGAAAACCCACCATGTGTTCCTCTGAATTACTCAACTGAGATGTATTGCAGCATGTGAAAAAAACAAAAAAAATACTTGGAAGGATTAAAAAAAAATTGTAGATAAAAAAAGAAAAGAAAAAAAATAACAGGTGAACATACAACTAGGGGAACAGATTTTGATATTAACAATATCATTTTTATTGTTCTGTCGAGCACTGGTTGATAGCGAAATTTGGCTGTCGACTAGTCGGGTCTATCATTCACCGGATTTGGTAAAAATGAAATGAATGAACTCAAAATGGCCTAATCAATTTAATTGTTGAGCTCTGCGACAAAGTATTTTTTGAACAACAACAAAAAAAAGAAGAAAAAAAGACAGCAGACAGTTTCCTTTGCCTTTTCATGTTACTTGGAGCTGTTCTGAACAATAACGGGTTTTTAAAAAGTATTTCTCCCTTCCATGTAAAAAAAGACATATAATGTTCTGACAACACTACTACCTAATTTCATAAGATATTTTTTTACACTAATTCTTAGATTGCATAATATTTTTCTGTATACTTCAAAATAGTTGCTCTTTTCTTTTTTTAAACTTTAAACATTCGGATATTGTACGAATTTGTTAATATTGTTTGTTTATAATAATATATCTTTCTTTTTGCGTAAAGAACATGAAGGAATTCGACTGTCGATTATGGTAGTATGGTGTCATCATGTCTGTAATGTGTATGTGTGTAAAAAGATCTTAAAAGAATGATGTCCCAGTGTTTGTGAAGAAAAACTCGGTATCAATGCACCACTTTTATTTTACCAACATTTCATGTCTGATAAATTCCTGATATTAATTGGTGGAGTGGGATTGTTGTAAAAACAAAAAAAATAAAAAAATGGACTTGGCTAGTGCTGGTCCCATCGTCTTACACACCCTTACCAGTGCTTGCAGCCAGAATGCTGACATTCTTAAACCGGCTGTACACCAGTTGAAACAGTGGGAAACTAGTCCTGGATTTTATACGATTTTATCAGTAAGTATCTTGACTAATACAAATAACCTTTATGCGTTTTCTTTTATCTTAGGATGCTGTATTTTTCTCAGTACATTTAAATGACCATTATTTTTTAACTGACATACGAAGCCATGTTGGAGATAAAAACTTATTGGCCTCTTCACTTTCTTTTAAAATGTAATTTTTTTTAAATACTGAAGTTCATTTTTTTCTGTTTTTTCTTGTAGGAAATGTTACGAGACTATTGAATTAGATTATTGTTGGGTTGTAAATCATAGATATAAAATGATGTATTTCGCTTTAAATTCTTCTGCGCATATAAGTACTATGAAGTCATCATTTATTTCTGGAAGAATTGTTGCAGAATAAATTTTAGGGAATTAAAGTAGAATTTGTGTTTAAAGAAATTTTAACAATACTTTTAAACTAATGTCTGTAATACTAATAGGAATACCAATACAGCCTATTTTTTGTAAATAAATGTTAATACATATTTACATTAAATGCTATAGGTTTCTTTTTTTTTTTTTTGACTCACGTGTGTTTATATTACATCCCACTACTAAAGGTGATCATAATTTATCCACCAAAAGTTGCTTGTTTCACAAGCCAAGTCTTCTTTATTAAAAAATAATTTTGCAATTCTAACATCATGCAAGCGTACATATTTTATTTTTTTACGTTAGCTTTTTTGTTTAATGAACAATTTGTTGGGTAGTGGCACGCTTCTTTTAATTTCATTACATTATTTTTATTTTTGCATATAAAAGACGTTTTACCTTTTGGAAAAGTATATTTAACTAGGAATGTCTCTTTGACCTTTTTTTTTTTTTTGTGTGTGTGTGTGTGTTCCACCCGGCAATTATTCCCTCCAACTGTGATTGACGTGGACTGGATTGTCTGATTTTTACAAGCTCAAATTAAAAGCAATTTAGTTTATTTATTCATTTTATTTTATTTTTTAAAGAAAGAGTGTTTTGTTTATATATTTAAGTTAACTTCTAACTACTGTTACCTGATCTGGCAGACCATCAAAATAGTTCAAACTTATGGTGCTGTTGTATTTCTGTTGCACCAAATTATTTGGGGATTGACTTGTTTTTGCTTTCTTAGATTCTTTCTAAGTCTCGGAATTTTCATTTTTGAAGATTCGTAATTTAAGAGGTTTTATGTTCATTCTTAAGTTAACACTCTTTGTTTTTGGACTGCTGTCAAAGCATAAACCAACGTTCCCATAGGTATTTTTCCCATTTTCAAATCAAAACGACTAAAAAAATTTTTTTTTTTTCTTTTTTTTTTTAAGTCTCCTTGTTTTCTTAAAAAAACTACTTTGATGGCGTAAGATTATAATTTGTCACAAGATTTTAAAAATTTGGATTTTTTTTTCCCTCCAATTTGGCTTTTACTTGAGAAAATAAAAATCAAATTCTTTAACTCCTCATTAACTTAACAACGAGCTTATAAATATTTTGTAGTTGGATTGGATTTATTTTTTTAAAATTGGAACTCGTTTATAGGTTGATTCAAACAACGTACCTTGTATCCTCTTCTAATTTCTGGAAAAAAATTACTTAAGCCATTTTTTTCACCGTTGTGTGAAATAAGCTCTTTCTTTACCGCATTTTTCTTTTACATTAAAAAAAAAAACAAAAACCAAGAAACATTCACATTCTTTGCTTAACCATGTCTGTAAATTCAATTTGGAAAAGAACGAACTTTTTTTCTTTTTGCAAGATGTTTCATGAAAGCTACATCGGAATTTTATATTTCTGACATATGTTTAATTAATAATAACGAATGGTTCAACAACTTGATGACGCAGAAAATAAGCATCTTTGAGTTTGGAAGTTCTCGATTTCTGTTTGCTTTTTTTTTAAAATTTTTTTTTAAGGAAGCTAAAATAACTTAAGAGGTCGCTTTAACAATGTACCTAAATTGGTTCCAATGCTTGATGTCTGTACTAAAACTAATTTTAATTAAGATTAAAAACAAAATAGATAAGAAACCTGTTTTCAGCAACTTTTTGGCAAGTAAAGTGTCTTGGTATAGTTATTTTATTTATTTATTTTTTTTTTTTTTGTAACAATCGGTTTTTTACTTTAGTGCTCAAGTTTTCAGAGAACATTAATAATTTTTTTAACATTTCATTTCAGTTAATCATTCTTATTTCCCATGACGAATTTGAAAAAGTATGAGCGTAAGTTTTGCAAGTAATTTAAAAAAAAAAAAAAAAAACTGCAATCTTCAGCTAAGAAAATATGTTGTGAATTTGATTATTATTCAGTTCACCTTATCCTAAAAAATTTAGGATAAGGTGAATAACTTCTTTTAGTCCTAAGTGTGGTGGATGGTGAGCAAACATAATTTCTAGTATTCAAAAATTGTTTAGTATGGGAGTAAAAATTGATCAAACAAGGTTATATACACTTTTAGTTTAAGCACAAAGAAGAAAAACTGAAATTCATAGCATTTTATTTACAAAGCTCATCAAATATAGCTTGTAATCTTGCAATCAATGCACATTTCCTTCTAAAATAAACAATTTATTCATTATATATTACATTTGCAAATTGGACCTTTTTTTTTTTTTTTTTTTTTTTTTTTAAGATTCATTATTTTGTTCAAAATGTACTTAGATTTATCAATCTCTCTCTAGTCTAATCTTTTGTGATTGTGTGGATGACTTCGTACTAAGTACTTGTTTAGAATAGTCGAACATTGTTGGATAGCTACAGAAGTAGTAGAAATGTGGCTTAATATTGTAAACATTCAAAATCTTTAAATGATTTTTTTAATTTATCATATTTGTCAATTTTTTTTTTTTTTTTTCAAGTTAAAAATTTGTAATAAAATTCTGAAGGCAAATACAGATTCATTGCATATTTAAGATGCTACTCTAATTGTTTTTGTTTTAACATGATGTGGAGAGATATATTGGTCATTTTTTTTCCCCATTTATCATGCATCTGAAAACTTCTCATCAAAAATGTTTTAAATCTTTATACACACAAGAAGCATATATTGAATCATGTTGCTGACATTTTGTTCATATTAAATATGTTGCTAATCATCTGGGCTTTACAACATGCATTAAAACACATTTTCCCCATTATCTAGTTTTAATAGCTTTTTATAAACTATTTTCTAGTTAGAAGCTGAAAGCAGCAAATTGTACAAGATTTTGCTTTCAAAACTTTTTTTTTTTTTTTTTTTTTACACAAATCTGGATGACTTCATTTTCTCTTGATGAGAAATGTGATAACTTAAAAATATTCTGAAGGAAAACAATTCTAAAATTAAGGAATATAGAAACTGTTAACCAGGAAAAATTGTTTACTCAAAATCTGGTGATGAAAGTAACATTTTCTGCTAGTTCACAAGATGCAATACTGAGAATTTCTCAACATAACACTTACTCTATGAATTACTTCAACCAAAACAATGTTTTAATTAGTTTTGGCTTGTGCATTCTCTTGTCTTCAGGTGTTGGTAAGAAAAATGGTTGTAAATTAAAGGATGTGTTAACAAGATATGCTGCTTATTTGAGCATAAGGAAAGGTTCTATCAACATCTCTAAAAGTTACCAGATGCAACTCATATCTAAAGGTTCGAGAATCCTGTGGTCAAAGTAACAAAGATTCTGTTGATTTAAATAATTTGTAGTGTGATTAGTATCTAATCACAAAATTTAATAACTCACAGTTTTATAATGTAATAAAATAGACAAAAAGGCTATCAACAAACTATGAAATAATTTTATCAAATTATTCAATTAGTTTGGTTTATATTTAATTTTCTAATGTCATATTTGTAATTGTAAAAACTGACTATTACTGTTAAATAGTTGGTATCATTTTCTTGACATTGATAATAAAACAAATGATTTTCTGAAAATTTCACTAATTTATTTTCATTTGTGATTGCTTTTTTTTCTTTTAACAATAAGAATTCTAATTTTATAATTAAAAATGATTAAAATTTTTTTTTTAATGCACAACTATTAGACTCTTGAATACAGAATTCAAGACTTACAAGTTTGGGTAAGCAGAATATTACAGGATAAATTCAGAAATACCATAATAACTGTTTTGCATTAAGTCATTTCTCTTTACTGACCTAAAAACAGTAAAATACTGAATTTTTTTTACCCACGTGTGTGTGTGTGTATATATATATATATATATATATATATATATATATATATAAATAAAGTAGTGAACCACCCTTAATCCATTGAGGTTTAAGTTTAACTTGGGCAGCTTCTTCTAACGGATATACTTCCCTGATCACTCTAAGCTTAACTTGTTCAAGTCTAGGGTCAACTATTATTTTCCTCATATCCCCATAAACAGTCCCTTAGCCTGTAACTCTTTACCTCGAGTGGCTCTTGAGTCTTGTACAAGGTGAACAGCACTCCTCTCTCATATATATATATATATATATATATATATATGAGAGAGAGAGGGTGTGATGGGTAAATTGTTGCCATTTTATATTTTTAATTTTGCTCATGTGTGTTTGTCTTCAATTTTTGTCAACTGCACAGTATAGTAGGGTCAGTTGGGCTTGGTCTGTGAGAAAAGGTGCACTTTGCTAGAAATTTGGAAATGGTATTCTGTATTGCTTGGAATTCACACCAGAAGCTCCAGTACAAACATTTCAGTGTTTCGGTGTCAATCTGAGGCATGTGCAGAGGATTTGGGGAGAATTGGATGAGTTGAGTGGTAATTATAAATGTATTTGGAGTAATGGCGACATTATGCCTCCATTCATCTTCCTACAGGGCTTCAGAATTGACATGGAGGCTTACTTTAGTGCCTTGAAGAGGTAGTGCTGCCCTGAGTCAAGAGGGTGGCTGCTGGAAGATCCTATGTCTGGCAACAGGAATCTGCACCATGCTGCACAAGCAGTAGTACCCAGTCATCGCTGTCAGACAATTTCTGTGACCACATCACTCCTTACATCTGATCACTTAACTCTTCAGACTGCAACCCCCTTGATTATGTGTGGGACGCAGT